CTGACTGTAGATAATCATTTCCAGACTTGCCTTTCTTTGAGATTACGTTTTCGGGATACATTTTAGTGCAGAAATGGAGCGCCCTTATTTTGGCAGACATTGGGACTCATGTATCACGGAAAGAGAAAGGGCCCCAGTTCCATTAGGGAAAACCTCTGAGAAAGAAAACAGCCAGGGTGCCTGAATGTCTTCGCTCTGGTTCTTCAGATTTTACTCAGTACTCAGTGAGCTGCCACACATCCAAAGAGGCAGTTTGGGATGGCTGCTGGCCTCCAGCGAGGTTGGGCTGGATCCTGAAGTTGGCACGTAAGTGCCAGTAGAAGCAATCCTAGTGCTTCTGCAGCTATGATGATAACTGACAGGAACAAGGCCTGTGTTCTAGAGAAGTTTGTGGGGTTGTTGTTTTGTTTTTAGCTTACTTAACCCAAAATTTATAGCATTTTATTCTTGCTATAAGAAGTTTCCATTTATAGTCTTCCACCAAAAGTTAATAGAAATAGGAACAGTTGTAGCTACAGTGTGGTTAATGAAGACACAGTACATAAAACATCCACTCTGCTGATTCTCTGATTGGTATCAAAGCCTCCACGTAGCGAAGTGGGCTCTATTACACTGTATAAACACCAGTAACTGACAAATAAACGCTTATGCTTAACAAGCTTTAGATTTTCATTTAACAGGCTTTCTCCCCCTACCCCCTTGATGTCATTAACAGTTCCTGCAGTGGACCTTGTCCACTGTAGGACTCAATATGGCAGTAGGTGGCCACAGCAAAGGGCTGAGCATGCAAAAGCCCTTTAAACTGTGGAGTGTTGGGAGTTGAAAAGGCACTGTGATTTAGAGATGTAGTGTTCAAAAGAATAAAAGAGCTGGGCACAGTGGTGCATATTTGTAACCCCAGTACTTATCATGAGTTCCAGGCCAGCCAGGGCTACATAACAATATCCCGCTTTAAAAAAAAAAAAAAAAAGATAGTAAAATGTCTAATGTTTGTGGTGTACACATTTAAATTTTGTAGACATTGAGTTAGAGAATAAAATTCAAGTGAACAGCATTTCTTTGTACCTGTGAGGTGTAGCTACTGAACGTTTTAAATCTTACATGAAAATCACTTTTGTGACTCTGTGTTTTTGTTGGCAAAGCATGCTCAAGAGGCAAACTGCTAGTATAACTACACTTGTGGGTCCATCTGCATGTGATCAGTTACATGTATACATATAAGCACACAGTATGTGTGTGTGCAGGTCAATGGACATTTCTATTCTCTCATAATTTTCTATCGTTAACAGTCTATTTCCTTCCTAAGAAGCCCTTTCTCATTCTGCCTACTTAGCAAACTCTTTGAACCTTTCATCAGCCAGCTGAAGTATCATTTCCCCTGTAAGATGTTTTCTGGATTCCCTGGCCTCACATCCATACTTCAGATAGAAGTAAACATTCTGTCTCCTAGGGTGCAGTGACTTAGCCAGCATCTAATGAATGCCTACTATTTGCTAAGCACAGGGGTAAGTGTTGGAGGTATCTCAGTGTGAGCAATAGGGCCTTAGACCTTACACCTGCACACTCTCGTTCTAGAAGGGAATTCTGATAAGTGAATGCTCATAAATATGGCTTGAGGGATGCTGGACATGAGAGATGTAGAGAACACATCCACATTAGACATTTCTCAGACTACTTGTAGTTATGCAGAAGAAGAATAAGCTAAAAGTATTGAATTCCAGAGGAGCAAGGAATGTTTTATAATACATCTATGTTTAGCTATATAAAAGGAATGGCATCTTCTTACATTGCAAACGCTCCAAATGAGAACTGGCTTTCAAACACAAATCACGCTAGAGATGCTTGTATATTGCATATACCCCAACATCCATGCAATGACCACCTTAGCCAGGAAATTTAGATATTGTTTTTCTTTCTTTTTTTTTTTAAATTACTATTATTGTGTCACCACTGGGAGATGTCATTGAGTGAGAGAGACGTTGGCCGGCCAGCATATATGACACTTGATCCCTGAGAGCAAGAAAAAAAAATGAGCATGTATGTTTGGTGTGTGTGGATGTATGTGCTGTGCACATGTGTGGAGGTCAAAGGACAACTTTATGGAGTGTGTCCCAAGGAGAAAACACAGGTAGCCAGCCTTGTGCAGTGAGTCACTTTATCCTTGAGCCATCTTTTACTGACCCAGTACCAGCATGCTTTATTTATTTATTTATTTTGAAGAAATAACAAACATGAAATGGTCTTCACACCATGAGCATGGTACATTAAGATGAATTCCCCAAGAGGAATACAACTAATTTTTATACAAATGTGTTATCCAAAAGGCCCGGGATTTAAATGATTATATTAGAATGTGTTAGGACTGGGCAAGCAGCTTTGGTACACAATGTAACATAGAATAGCTGTTACTGTTTCACCACCGATATTAGACAGACAGGACAAGACCTGGCTTGCTGAGCAGTGTCAGCGATCTAGATCTAAAACCTGGTTAAGAAGTGAGAACATGCTTTTCAGACTGGCATTTGAGAGGCTCAAATATCTGTCCTCAGGTCTGTTACTGTGGTATGTGCACCTTTCTCCTTGGTGGGAGCATCACTGACTTTCTATTACTCAGTTTAACTTTACATTAATTGTGAAAGGGTATCTGGATTCTTAGTCTGTTCCAGGGAAGAAACTGCCAGTCAAAAGAGAGGAAAATGCTTGCCTCTTGGTAACAGAGGCTTGAAATAAAATACAAACTCAGGTGTGTGTGTGTGTGTGTGTGTGTGTGTGTGTGTGTGCGTGTGTGTTATACAGGGACTTTGCACATACTAATCAATTGCTGTAACTCTTTGTTTTATACCCAGCACTTAGTTTTATAAACCTGGTCTCTCATTTTGGAACTTAGCCCTTGAACTTGTTAAAAAGTTGTGGCTGGCCTCCAATGCTCCACTCCTTGTCTGGGCCTCCCAGTAACAGGCTAGTGCCACCATGGCTAACTAAAATCATTGGACGAGTCTACTACAATCTACCACAATGATGCTTTATAATGAGATCGACATTGAATTTTCAATAAAATGCCAAATAAAGCCCAATAAACTGCTTAAGAAGAAGGACACACTTACACTTTTGCAAGTCCCTGTGTAATATTTTTTAAAAAAATGTTTGTTTTTTTTTTAAAGATCCAAGCTCCAATTATGCTGCTCATTTAATTGCAATTATTTGCTTTTTGTCAATCCAAATAAATGATGCCCCAAAGATTTGCTGCCTTTACTAATTTGTCTTGAATAGATTTTTGAACTGTGGCATACACAAATACTATTCTGCTACATGAGATTAACACTACATTACATGACAACAGATTGCACAGGTGACTCACTGGGAGAGATAATATTTATCTTAAAATGTACCATCACCATTCCTAACACGGGCTCAGGACTGTGCTAAGATATTGCTTTATTAAGAATTAATTTGAAAAACTGCTTTCACTTTCAGGATTGGAAAGATACTCTAGACCTTGCTCATTTGAAGATTAGCTGGTTGTACAGCTGTTACATAACAGTAAAGACTACAGTTTGATCACCCGGGTAATCTTTGGTTTCTATGTGTATCAATAACTCTGTTTCCAACTGCTACCGAAAATGCATGAGTAGATAGCTTCACCCACAAAATTGTCTTATCCAGTATGTATACAGTATTTTAACACAGGCAAACACCACTTTAGAGTTCAGGGTGAACTGAAGATGTACTTTAGTGGTTTTTTTTTTTTATGACAAATAAAGCAACTTTTACAATCACTCTTTTTCTACTGGTAATTCTTTTCATGACGAGATACTGAAGTGAAAAAGGAACGTGACATCTAGGGGGGGCGCTTCACAAGCAATATTCATGAGGAGAGGATTTTAAAGCAGAAAGCACGAGAGGGCGAGATCACGGTTTCATGTTATTCTCTCCTCCCTCCACTTTCTCGCTTCACCAATCTGTAGCCCCCCTCAAATTTAGAGGCGGGTTCAGCGAGAGGAGGCTGCAGGAAACCCAGGTTTCACTGCGCTGGCATCCTGGCTTCGTGATGTAATTGTTATTTATTGAGACTCTGAACCGAGCACAGCTGCTTAAAGAAGTGTCAGCCCATCTCCTAGTCCCGTTGGGTCAGATCCTTCCTGGGGGTGGTGCAGCTTGGCCGGCAGACTCCGCTGGAGACTCCACAGTGACAAAGCAACGGAAGATAAACCCGGTTCCTGGGTCCTGCGTCCGTCTAGGGAGCCGAGCTGGGCACTCCTCAGGTCTCCTTCCCAGTTTTCCGCTTGGAATCACGCCACATTAATTACTGGGTCCTACTAGGTGCTGGGCATGGGGTCAAAATGACCTAGAGTTATAGCAGCGTCCCTTCCGGAATTTAAGCGGGACACCGATTCCTAGGAGGTGGAAAACGGAGGGTGGGTAAAAGGGAGCCAAGAGAACGCGTGCTGTGGGGTGAAATGGTTGGAAGGGAGACCCTTAAGGTGCCGGCCCCTAGGTGAAAGCCCTGGGGGAAGGGTTGGTGCCCTTATTCCTCTGCGGTGCCCCCAACGCTTGTCCAAGCCTGGGTGACATGGACGATCGCCTGGTCCCTAGGGACAATCTGTCCAGGCAGCTGGACGGTGCCGTAAAGCCAGGGCTCCGGCTCGGGGAGCAAGGAACCCCCCTCTCCCGGCCGAACTGTGTCCTCTCTACCTGCCAGGCCGCACAGCCCCGGGTCCCCCACCCGGAGCACCGGAGAGGAGGCCCGCAGAAGCCGGGTAGGCTGCCCAGCTCGAGCGAGCCGCCGGGTACGCGATCAGCCCGGGTGACAATGGGAGGGAGGGGCAGAAAAGGGTTAAGAAACTTGGCTGAAGAGCTGAATGGCGTGGAGCAGCGAGGGGAGGGACCCGGCCGCCGCGAACTCGGCGGCGGAGGGAGGAGCGCGGCTGCGGCGGGCGGGCGGCGAGCGAGGCGCTCAAAGTCAGCCTCGCAGACATTGCAGCAGAGCCCCGAACTCGGGAGGCAACGGCGATCGCGGCGCAGGCGGAGGACGAGCCGGCCCCAGCCCGCCGGTGCGCACCGCCCGTGGCCTCGCGCGGCCGCAGGGCACGGCTCACCGGGGAAGGAGGGAGCGACGCGGATCGGCGGCCCGGAGCCGAGGCGGCCTCGGTGAGTGGCGATCGCGGCCCGAGCTCCGTGCGGAGCTGGCAGAGCGGACGCCCAGCCGCCCGGGCACGGCCTGGGTGCGCGGCCCGGGGAGGTGGCGGAGGCCGGGGAGGCCCACGGGGGACGCCGGCGACACGGATCCCGGGGACAGCTTGCCGCGCCCGGCTCTCCCCGGGAACTCGCGCCCTCCCAACCCCCCCGCCCGGCGCGGCCGCCAAGTTGTGGAGTTCCCAGCCGTGGGATCGCCCGTGCCAGCCTTGGCGCGAGGGGCGCAGCCTCCCTGGCTGTGCTGTGCCGGGACCCACGCGGGTGGCCGGGTCGCGGGGCCCGGGTCGAGCCCGCTCGGCTGCTCCTGTTGGCCCCGAGCCCCGGGCGCTGGCTGCTGCGCCGCTCGGTCCCGCCGCCCAGCGGTGCCCGCGGTGGCGCCCGCGCTGCTCCCCGCCTTGAGCTGGTGCCTCCCCGCGCGGTGCTCGCCGATTCCCGGCCGGGAAAAGTGACTCGGACAGGGACAGCGCTGAGCCCCAGGCCCGGCCTGCTGGGCACCAGGTCCCCGCCTGCCGAGGGAGGGCGAGGCCCCTTGAACCCCAGGCCTCAGCCTAGTTTTCCCCAGCATCCGAGAGCGGGGTTTGCGTTTAGCGTGAGCCTGCTGAAGTCCTGGGAGACAGACGCTCCTCCGTCTGGTGCCACTCTCTCGCCTTTCTCCCGTTGTTTGAGGAAACCCTCTTCCGCGGCGGCACTCTGCACACCCTCCCATCCTTCCCAAAGTAGTTTCCAAATTTTAATCAGGAGTTGATGTTCAGACTGAGGGAACAAAGGAATCCACTGTGTTTAAAAGGCGGACAGGCAGTGTGAGCCTGACACATGTTGATCTCTGAGGCATTCCAGGAGTTTCTACCTTCCATCGTGTCAGTAATTTAATTGGACTGTGGCGGTCGTAAATGAAGAGCAGAATGTTAGGTAATTTATGTTAAGGTACTTTATTTATTATTTATTTATTTATTTATTTTTAATTAATGGGTCATTTTAGTTGGGGGAAAGTCCCGACGTTCTCAGGTGCAAGAACTTGTAACTCATTTTTGTGACACCAGGCTTGAGTTTGTCTGCTCATGTAAATGATTGTGACACTGAGGGAAAATCGTGTTTTAGAGGAAGAGAGAGACTGTCTAAAAGTAAAGCAAGATTGGTATGTGTGTCTGTGTACGCACATAAACATGCATAAATGATGTGTAGTCTGTATTTCCTGGGTTTTGTAAAGCAAGGGGCTTCAGAAATTCATTCTTTAAAGTTATGAATTACATTGAACCTGCTTATTAGTGAATCATAGGTTTTAGCGAGTGGGCGGCACCTTCCCGATGCTATTATTCAGTGCTCAGTCATCAGTTTGCCACCTTTGTCTAAGAGACAGTGAAGTAAGTCTACTTTTTAAGCAAATGGTGGTTCATGCCCATGGCCCCCGTAAATGTGGCTGCTGCCTGGAGTGTGTGGAAATGTCCTTCCACTTCCAAGTGAGTGTTGCCCTGGTTTTGCCTAGCCGTTCGGTAATGTCCATAGGGTTTTTATTGACCCGGGCTGGCTTCAACACCAATAGGAACTTTCTCAGCTTGGTCTTACTTAGTTCCTGTAGACAAAGAAGGAGAAGCAGTATGGAATGTAGCAGGTACTACTTGAGGAGTCTGGGACTGGATACTTAACTCCAGCCTGCTTTAGGCTCTGGTGGGGGCATTGCTTTCCAAACTCAGCCTGCAAAGTACAGGAGGAGCCTGAGGAAAACAGAGGTAAGAGGTAAATAAGGAGGGCAGTTAGCTGGGTTGCTGCTCTTACACAGATGAATTGCTGTGGTGCCTTTGAGATAGCTGAACAACAACATCAGGTTTAAGCCGACCAGAAGACTGAGAACGTGTGTTTTCCAAACTTTGTTGAATTTGAAATTTCTTAATTGAGCTATCTGGAAATATTGTGAATTAGCAGTGGAGAAGTGTCTGCGGACCAGGCTAGGGCTCCTCTGGGCCCACCAGTTTTAAGAGCAAAACATTGTGATTAAAAAAAATAACCTATACCACCACCTAGAGTCTGCTTGTTAGTTTATGGCTCCTAGAGTTTGCTTACATCCACATGTCCCTTATGGTTGCTGCATAGTCAAAACATGATTGAGAAGTTGAGGCTTCCCAAAGGTCATCCAGAAGAACAATTACTCAAGTCATAAACAGCAAGGGCCAATTTAAATTATCCATGCCACCTTCAGAATAGAAAATTATGACATATCAATTCAAGTGGGCTAGTCTCCAGAAGATATTAATTCAGAAATGTAAGGCAGAGCCTTCTAAGCTTAAGCCCTAGGGGTGGCTGTGTCTGCTGAAAGATTTTCTGTGTTCAGAGATTCAAGAAATATTACGAAATAAGTGTTCTTAGCGCCTTTTGTAGTTCCGGGGAAACAAAAGCAATGAATGAATATATATATATATATATATATATATATATATATATATATGGAGGGAGGGTGGGAGGGAGGGTGGGAGGGAGGGAGGGAGGGAGGAGTATTACCACTACAAAAATTTCTAGACGTTGAAAAGGTCAGAGAGAATGTAGACAGTAGTTGAATTTGGGTTTGGGTTCAACTATTGAGAATACAATCAATGTGAAACAAAGTGACAGTCTGCCCTTCTGGTGGTGGATCTGCAATAAGGCAGTCTGTTGAACAGGAGACCTTAGGGAGGCAGCCTCTGCCATGTGGCTCAGCACACTGTCCAAGGAGGAAGTAATGTTCCTCCTTTAAACGGGAAGCCTAAAAGATGGCCTCCAAGAACTTTAATTAAATATCAGTTGAACAGAGAGAACTAGAGCACTGGATTAATTCTGTCAAACATCACTATTTTAGAACATTGAGGACAACTAAAAATGAATTAACTCATATCTGAAAGCAGAGTTTTATGGAAGGTGACAGATGAGGCAAAATATGTCAGTCTAATGGAACACATAGGGAGATGAGGATAGATATGCCATCCTTGGCTCTCCAGACAGTTGAGGGGAGAGCAGGTTATTATTAATTGTGTAGATCTCATCGCCAAGCCAGCACGGAAGACCATGGCCTGGAGATCATTTTAAATCAGAGTAGCCTAGGATCTGTGAGGTCAAAAGTCATATATATATATATATATATATATATATATATATATATATATATATATAGCGTAAGCCTGAAAATTGTAAGCAACTTCTGTCTTCCAGAAGAGCAATAACACTTTGGTGCTTGAAGTCAAAAGATCATTCAACTAAAAATATGTTGAAGACATTGGAATTTTAATCAGCAAAAGTTACACATTTTCCATCGTGATGAGTCCTTTTATGTTTTAAAAGGTTGGTTTCCTGACGCGTTTTAAAGCGTAGGCTAGTCACTCAGTTTCTCTTTCTACCCCTACCCTCCTTCCCTTCCTCCCCCCCTTCTCTCTAAAATAAACAAATCACATGTCTCTAGCCATTTTCCTCTCTTCCACGAAAATCGTTTTTAATTTGTGAATTTTCCTTTGTGGCTGTGTAGTTTGTTTTGTAGTTTTTCCAGCCCTCCATTTCAGGTGACTGCTACACAGACACGAGTGGATTTTGTACTCTCAAGTAAGCATCGACTTCTAGAAGGGTGATGACTGAGGAAAACACATTTACTGTCACTAGCAAAACCCTGTGTGCCAGCGTCTTCCAACTGGAGACATATGTTCATTTAAAATATCTTGACTGCTGTTGAAGAGCTGAAGTATTTTCAACAGAACGTGGTAGGGTGGCTGTGGATGTACAAAGTTGAGTCCGTGGCTTTAACAGCTTGGGATTCATTTCCTTACATTGTAGTTTTTCAGGAACCAGGGGATGAGCATGTTCATTCTGTAGTATTTAGATAACAATGGTCAGAAACCTCACACCAGGGTGGACTTGAGGAAGGTGAAGACCAGGCATGTCAGAGGATGAGGCAGGCCGGTGGGATGGAGCTGGGACCTGGACAAAAGCTGGGATGAACAGAAAGTAAATGGAGGAAGAGGCCTTGTTTCCCATTCTGTTTGCGTCTGACGCTAACGCAGGGACATGGATTGCTGATGGTAATGGAGTCCCTTTTATGAGGCCAGCAATGTTACATAAATAGTGATTGTTGGAGGGAATGAAGTGGCATGTTCTCCATTTGTACAGATTCACAGTGAGTTTGGAAATGTTCCTTAAGTGTATCTGAAATGGAAGGAAAAAATTGGGTACCAGAATAGAACCAGGAGAGGTACAGTTTACTCAGAAGAAATGAATATCATCTCCTTTTTTGTTTCATCTTTTTTTTTTTTTTTAAGAGCTGTAGTTTTGAAAAGTATTGTGGACATGGAAAACTGAGTGCCGAGGGTTGGGTGATGCCATGGGCATCTTTTAACAGAACCTGTGATGGAGATGGCTTGGTGTAACTGCCTAAAGGAGAATGCTTTGTTTAAGTGCATTGTCTTATTATTCAAGGGGGAATGGACAGTAGGGAGACCAGAAGTCTCATCAGGGTTTTTGTACAAATAATTTATATAGTTGCCCATCATTTTTCTCTTTTCTTCCTTCATCACTGATATTTAATACTACATATATAGTGTAGAAATTCTAAAAATTGGATTGGAGTTTATTTCGAACAAAAACTTTTGTGTTGCTATGGGTATGAAAGATACATTTTCCATCATGAAAGCTGGTATGTAAACTACTAGGAAGTCATGTCTTTTTTTTTTTTTTTTGTACTATTACTATATATTCTGTATCATGGCCCTTGGCGCTCTAATTGGTCCCTATACTTTCTTGCAGTCACGTGAGTCAAAACATTATAAAGTTTGTGGTGTTATTGATCATCGATATGCCTTAAGACAAGGTTTATACAATGGAGAATAGAAGTGGATTTTCAAAACTGATCATTTTACAAGAATAGTAGGATTTTGAATCATGCTAGGGCTATTTATCCTAGAACTCTAGGGGCGCTATAGAGAGAAACAAATCTGAAGAACTTT